TTTATTATGGTGCCAGAAAGTATGATTAGGCTAGATGTTGCAAGGAATCCATAGATAATACCGTAGGCCTATAGGCCTATCGGAATAGGCCTACTGAGCTATGACGCTATGTCTAGGACTAAATAATTGTTAGGCCTACCCGAATTCGGTAGGCTATATAGGTCGATCTACTAAAAGAACACTTCAAAGTATGTGATATTAACTAGCTGTCCGGAATAGGGGAGAGCGGGGATGGTTCGGACGGTGGGATGGTCCGGACACCCCCCATAGCTTTAATCTTTACAATGCTATCCGTTTTCTGATTGATTATTATAATACTAAAGATCTCATCTTGTAACATGAAAAACACATGGCAGAGATAAACATTCAAATGTAGATGCAGATAAGCTTTTTTCTATTTTTGACAAAGTTGATGTAAAAAATTTCTAATGTTAAATGCATAAATTAATTTGGTGTTTAACAAGTTTCTATTAGGGGTAGGCTGTCACCTCTTTCTTCCTTTGCTAATTAATAGAAATAGATTGGAAATTTATCATATTTTCATTGTAAATAAACATAATGGCGACTTATATCAGAATTATGGGTTTGGGGTACATCCGGACACTGTCCGGAATTACCCCACATGTGTTCGGATCAAACTGTTCAGTATTTCCAAGAGTCAGATTTGATAAAAAAAAAAGAAAAAAGAAAAGAATGATGACTGGCAGTTGCGGGGTCTAATAAGTTTACTGAAATTATGGGTACTGCTTTACGTCCATTAAATCAAATTCTGTCAATTCTTCCGAAACCCTTACAATAGCAACAAGGGGATGAGTTATTACTACAAATTTGGTACGTCATTTGTGGGAATAAACATTCGTTAGCTTTTTCGATGTAAATTATGGATTGATGTCATACCTAGAGAATAGCAAGAAGATTTAAAGCTTTAGAATTATCAGTTAATTCCTTTTTGAATCCCGTTCATTTAGTTTTGTCCAGCTATGTTAAAAATATGTCTCAGTTAGATGACATTCAGCTTTAAATGAATCACTACTGTGTTAACTTTATTGCTAACGGAACTTTTTGAAGAAATAGAACTAAACTGTGAAAGAAATCTTTTCAATTTGCTTTTGTCCAATCCCCCTCCATTTGTCCAAAGTATCCCCCAGGGGTGACCGGTGTCTCCCTGCTAATGGGGTAAATCCGGACATTTTACTAACCCCCCAAAAATTGGTCCAACACAAAGACTTTTATAGCTACACAGCTGTATCACTGATTGAATATAGCCAATAAGGTAAAGTCTATTTTCCATTCTTAAGTTCGGAGACAAGTGCATTATTAGTTGCAAAAATGTGAAAAAACCCAAAAGTGTCCGAACCATCCCCGCTCTCCCCTACCATAGCCTACAGTAGGCCTACATTCGTGCATCTTTGAACAATAGAAGGCTAGCATGATCAAGCATGATCTCGCTTCAACCCGTAGGCACTAGGCCTACATCTTATGAAGGCCTTGATAAGTTATAGGCCTACCCTACATTTTTGGACACTAATGTCGACTGGTTCCTGACCCTGCTGTATGGAAGGTTATCGCTGACAATATTAAATGCTCTGCTATAATGTCTTTTATTATATGTAAAAAGTGCAATGTACTACTGTAGGCCTACAAAGTCATAATAGGCCTACCGGTAATGATAAAGTCAAAATACCTCTCTAAGACAAGAGTTAAATGTAAAAAGTCAAATGTTAAGTGTCAAAATAATGACAAATGGTTTGTGGGAAATACTTTTTTGACGTGTCTACTATGGGGCGCCGTTTGTAAATTAATTATTTAGCTTTTTATATAGCAAAAAAAAAATAGATAATTTAATTTATATATATAGTTAAATCTCGACTTTTGTGCAAATTTTTCACTTTTAATATTTAAACTAAAAATACAACAAAAACTCAATATTTAACATAATATATATAAATATTTCATGATTTGTCTCTATTTTCATATTTAATATTTAGCATTGAATATTAAGACCAAAACAAGAGATTTGATGATATATAAATATTTAGCTAAATATTTAGTTAAATGTTTAAACATTTAGCTAAATATATATTTAGTTAAATGTTAAAATATTTAGTTAAACATTTATATATTTAGTTAAACATCTATATATTTAGTTAAACATTTATATAATTAGCTAAATAATATATATTTAGCTAAATAATATATAATTAGCTAAATAATATATATTTAGCTAAATAATATATATTTAGCTAAATATTTATATATTTAACTAAATATTTATATATTTAACTAAACATATAGTTAAATTTACAAAGCGCAACCGTACCACGCCGTTTGTAAAATAATTATTGTTGTAAGCGACTTCACACTAAACGATGACGTACTGTACAACTTTCCATTGACTGCACCTTGCCTTGATCTGTCACTCGGCAAATCTCGGTACCCTACATCTAACCTCGGCTGTATGATAGTAATTGATATGTACCTACGCCCATACATTTGCGATGCGGCTACCAGTTTACTTTAACAGGAAAACGTGCCGCTTTTACAAAGAAGTCCCAAAATGGCGTCTTTTGTCGAGTGTATATAACTAAACAAGTAGAGATATTGTCTCAAGGCTGCTGGTTTGATATAATTACCTGGTAATTCCCCAAACCCAATGCCAAACTTGACGTTTGTTGATATAATACCCTCGCCACAGAAATCTCCACGGGCGCAGCCATTTTTCATCCGGGACCTTTAAAATAGTTCCAATATGGCGGAATTCGTCATACAGCCGAGAATAGATGCGTAGAATCTGTCGAGGTTTGCCGAATGCTTGATTTGTGCGAACGGCACGGAGTACCGCGGCCGTGATTCGGGTCACAAGTTCGTGGTCAGCTTCCATTTCTAATTGCTAGTAGGCCTATTGTGCCAAGGCTCACGTGTCGGGTACACGTCACCATTTTATGCGCAGTTTTTTGTGTCGCTTACGATAATAGAAATATTGGCGGGACCGATAGAGTTATATATAGAAACTAGAGTCCGCACTGATCACGTGACCCCCATGACAACAACGTTAAAGGTTTGTGCATAGAACTAGAATAATAACGGGAACGCCCACTCGGTGACGTATAGCGGTGATGACATAATTATGTTGTACATCGCATGCGCGAAGTCAATAAGGCACAAGTAACTTCCGGCCGTATGTCAACATATAGCAGAAGCGTACGACGTCCTGGAATTAGATGCAAGTTATTCATAATTTTAATTTGTTTTTTTTTAAATTAGTTATATAACATACCATCGGGAGTATAAACCATTTATTTTCGGACATTAAATTATCCGAATACACGTTTGTGTATCATTTTCTACTACATATTATAAAATTATTATTAATAAATTATGATGACATTCACATTTTATTTAGGACTTATTATTTTTATTTTTTGTTTTGTGCATATTGTTGTTAGCCTTTGGCATGTCCGTGCCAGTTTTGGCTGGTTTCCCAGTGCCCTTTTCTTGTTTATAACAAGGGGTTTTACATAGGCTAAGCCTGTTCCCCAATCCCATTCAGACATCCTGATTAAAAATATTGTTTATAAAAAAAAAATGTGTATTCTTTACTACAGCTTTTCTTTGCTAAAGATTTGTTTGAGACATCTCAACCTGTCGTTCCAGTAGCATCCGTAAGTTTTCTACATATACAACATACATACATATAGTCACATAGTGTTCGTAGCAAATGGGCAAGTTTTGAAACTCATTATAGTCTCGACCATGTCTATATATTTTTTTTCTTCTCAAACGATCAAATTGCTTTGGAAATGAAATGAAATGGGGTTTAACGTCCTACTGTTCTGCTCCTATGCTGGGCTAATGAAGACGGGCATACGCCATAAGGTGTGATTTAAGGGAAATTTTGCCCGGGCAGCGGCACTATCACCTATTCTTATATCGAATTCCAACTGCCAAGGGATCTTTTACGTGCATTCCAATGTATACAGGTGACCTCGGGTTTTCGTATCATCCGAAGGATTAGACAGCTGTCCTTGTCAGGCCCTCCGTACTGCATCACTGACAAGGGGGAACCACGCCGGAAAATCTGGATGAACTTTCTCGGCAAATGTAGGGATCGATCACCCGACCTCCAGGCTAGCGAGCCAGCGTCTTACCCACTTAGCCACGTGATCCCAAATTGCTTTGGAACAGTTTCTTTTATTTTGTATAATATTTACTTTAAAGGGACAATAACACTCTTGCTGGCTTGAAAGCTCCAGAAAATAAATAATATCTCTATCTAAGTACTAGATGTTTAAGTGTCCCACCTGTTGTGTAAATTATCCATTACATCCTATTTTACTTGTCCAGAGGGTTCGAAAATATTTTTAAATCGAAGTTTCATTTGAAAAGGTTTACGTTAGACGTTTCAAACCATTATGTTGAATTTTTTAAATAAGGTGTGTTAAGATGAAATTTGTATCATCAATTAATTGAAATATTCTAAAATAGTTAAATTTGTTGACCAGAATAAAGATTGGGACATATAATTCAGTTACAACAAGAGTGGTATTGAGCCTTTAAAGAACTGTATTAATTTGGTATCAAGCTCGTAATTAGATAAAATTGTGAGGGAAATTATAACCTCCAACCCTGTCTTTGGTTGTGTACAGATTTACACTGGTAATTTTAATTCATAGCTATTGATTTTGTTTGGTTTTTATTTACGTTGTTTTCATTGTTATTTATTTTCTTTTTAAGATTCAAACTAATCCAGTTAAATTTAATGGGAAAGTTCAAGTAGTGGTTATATGAAAAATGATCTGATGTTCATATGATCTCAAGGGTTTGCCGAACCTCAATCGAGTTTAACCCCAACAAGGAATATCATACATCAAAACTTGTCATCTGCCTGTGCATTTTCTAGTATAAGTTTATCATCATTTGGAACAAATGGTTAAATTACTATTCAAGATGACTAATTTAAAAAACAAGAACAACAATATGTGGTTGGAATGATCCAAGGCTCTGTTCAAAGATATTTTATTCACATGACAGTGATGCTTGTTAAATAAAACTTGTGAATTTAACAGATAATGACCATTGATAAACACTAAAGGCAAATAGAAATGCACAAAAAAATCCATAAGCTTATGATAATAATGATTAAACATACATTATGCAAGAGCTAAATCTGCCTATTGCAGGTTTTCTTTAGGCCTGAAATGTTTTCTAAATTATTAATTAGACATTAATTAACTTATCCAGGCCCTAATCAACTCTCGATGGCATCGGATTTCTCCAATATTAAATAGATTAGAACAGTTCAGCCATATTTTGATTTAAGCTAAAAATGGAGGAGTGAGACTACTTCGAACAACCAGTACGATGGTTGAGATTATTGCACACGTCTTGTCAAACCTTCAAAGGCCTTCAAAGGCTAATATCTTCGCTCGCAATAGAGTAATTTGAATGAAATTTTCAAATTATTCATTTTACATTATTTATCTTCGAACTATTATAGCAAGAATGGCTAGCTCTTTATCAAAATCTTACATAATGTATATTTAAGAATAATTTAATACATTTATAAAGCTCACACATTACAAGTTGTGCACCTGTATAAAATTTGTATAAATTTTGTTATCATTGTTAATATTTTATACTGAGATGCAATAAAAATAATACATCACTTTTATAAATAGATGAATGTAAATCTTGTTTGAAATGAATCCAGGTTTAACGCCCTACTTAGTACTTTTCAGTTCAATTTTGTTTTAAAGATTTGCTTTAATCTTGCAATTAAGGATGTAACAACATCATCAGTAACAACGCACCCCGAACAATTCTCAATCAAAAAAATTAAACCCAACAGAATCAGTATGTTGATTTTTCTGGTACACACGTGGGGTATATAATGCAGCTTTTAAAAAGCTAGGTTTTGTGCAACTGTTGAAGGTGCAAAGTTATGCCACGTCATCTCAGAGGTGCTATTTCATTGCGTCTCGATATATTTTGTTTACAATTATCAACCTGGCCCCAAGTTCACAAAGCATTCCCAGACTTAATAATTTGCTCAACTTTCAATCACTGTTTTTGAGAAATATCTTTGATCCAGAAACACAAAACTTTGCACATAGTTTCTTATTGATATATTTACATTAAAACAACAATAGTTAGTAAAGTGCTATATTTAAGTTACAATAAGACAAACAATTTTTAGTAAAACCTTAACTTAAAAGACTGAGAATGCTTTGTGAACTTGGGGCCTTGTTTTCTTTTCATTACTTATTATCTACAATACAGTAATAACAAGAAATAAAAAATCTGTAGAACACTGCTGATTAAGTTCTAGATTTAATCCTAGATTCAATCACATTTATATTTTTATACTTCCAATATCGATATTAATTCCAATAGAGCCAGGTGATGTTTAGTTTAATTATACACTTTCTATTTTGTTGTATGAAATTATCTGTATAATCTGTGTTTTTGTTACTTTCATTGTGTGAAATGCTTGCAGCAAAGTGCTGTAAATAAAATACCTGACATCAATGATGACAGTTTAACTCTATAACTTCTCATTTGACCTCAAATCTATGTGGAGTGGAGTCAGTTGGAAGAAATAAATCAAAATGGAGTGAAATCTACATTTTAATCAAATTCGTACCACATGATTATATTCTACCACTTTTTGCTCGTTTATATGGCAACTATATATTATTGCTAAGCTATTTTTGAATTGTAAATTACATTTACAAGTATGTAAATATTGATTCTTTGAATTATATATTTTCAATCAAAATCTGAATATGCAATGTGCTATGTAGCCATATATGTGAAATAAACTATTATTATTGCTTTTTACTTTCTCTGTAAATCTCTGTTAATCTGTCGACAACTTAAACAAATTTCGATTTGAGTGTCCTCAAGAAAACTATTACATACAGAAGCAAGTACACAGATTTCGTAATTTATATGTTGACTTATTTGTGTTCATGAAAAGATCAACCTGTCTGATATATCTTACAGTTGTAGGCTGACATTGAGAATAAGACTGTAAATGTTTTGATGTTATGCCCCTACATATCTTCATATTCTCAACAGTTCTTATAAGTAAATCTATAGATGTAACTTTAATTTGAACAGGAAACAAAAATTATTATATTGTACTTCACAATTCAAGTCCTTGTCAATGGTTAAATGGTATGTTACACTTTTATCTTCAGTTTTAAACAGATAGATATAATCACTTGAAGACTGACATAGCCACAAAGCAGGCATTTGACATAAAAATGATTTCTGCAACATCTGAAAGGTTACTTCGTTCATATGTAAACATTGAGTTTCCTCGGTTTTCCTTGGACTCTGAATAAAATAGACAAATTCATAAAACTCAATTAAAACAAGAAGAATTGGATTCTCATACATGTATTCATAATTTTCTCGGTTTCTGAATAAAATCGAAAAAATTACAAAAGTAAATATAAAGAAGAATCGGATATTCATACAAGTATTTATAAATAAAATTATGGGAGATTACAGAACGAGCTAGCAGTTCTCATCATAATAGTTAAAAACTAGATAATGTAAAGGGAATTTGCTGAAAATTTCAGTCAAATTGATCCACCCTGAACCGAGTATTTAGTGGTTGAATTTTGGGCCTAGCCTCGATCATCATTACTAAGGTCGGTACGATAAAAAAAAAACATGGTCTTGATTATCCATTTTTTGATTTAATCAGAAGTAGCAGACTGGGCTCTAATCCAGTATATATCACAGGCTAGCGATGCCATCGAGCATTGATTATGGTCTGGATAAGTTAATTAATGTGTAATTAATAATTTAGATAACATTCCAGGCCTAAAGAAAGACCTGCAATTGACAGATTTAGCTCTTGCATAATGTCTGTTTAATATTGATGAATTAAATGTTCATATACTGATCTTTTAAAAGGAAACATCGAATGTTCATAATTATAATTAAGTTAACAGAAATTTAAGTTACCGGTGACTTCCTTGGATTCAATTTCTTTGTTGTTACGCTTTTCTGTAGAAGAATTAAGGTTGATACTCTCCCTAACCCTTCTTTTAATCTTCGATATGTGGACCCAGAATTTTTGTAAACATCTGAAATATTCATAAAATCAAAATAAAAAGGTTCCTACATACAAAACAAAAGGTTCAGATATAATTTTTTTTTTCATGCTTGTTGATTATTCATACCGGGAACAAGATTATTTCGGAATTTAAAAATAAAAGGATTTGACAGGTCAAGGTCAGTCATAAATAAATATACAATTTTAATTTTTATGGAGCTGCTCAGTTAAAACTTTGACCTTTACAAAAAATAATAATTAGTAATTCATAAAATTAAAGTAAAAGAAGATTGTTGAGAGAGAATCGTCATGCTGTCACACACTCATCGGGTGTAGTAATCGTCAATTTCATAACAAATTGAAAATAGACTAGGCCTAGCTACGGCACTAATGTAAACAAACCTATATGCATACAACTTTGATGAGAGAAGGGGTAAAATCTAACGGGCAAACATGAAAATACAGACATTCAGCTAGTATGGGTTTAACTTAACTTCATTGTTTCATTGTAGGTTGTCAGGGTGGACTGCCAACTACTACATAATTAATTTCTTTTGAGTTTTCACTTACTTTTTCAACGAAATAATCCGGCTCAACGTGTCTTGAACATATTGTCAAGGTCTTGTCATTTATCGGGTCTGATCTGGTAGACTGTATGATACGTAATGATTCTCTCTCCACTCTGTTGTTTTTGGGTAAGCGATTTCTTTTATTGCAGGCGGAACATCCGAACAAAACACAATTCGCGCCAGGCATTTTGTTAGTGCGAGCAGAAACCGGAAGTACGCTGTGCCCGATATCAACGTCAGAAGCCCGCCGTCACATAAGGTAGTGACGTCACACGGTGGGCGTTCCCGTTAGTGTTCTAGTTCTATGGTTTGTACCGGGATGGAGCGACGGCCGCCATGTTAGTTCCGGGGAGTATGAACGTAAATACCCGGATGTTCACTATGTTATCGCATCAATCAATCTGTGTCAAACTGTTTTAAAATGTGCACAAATATTAAATTTTTAAATTTTCTCACCCAAATTTTTATTGTTTAATAAAAATAATAATAAAGATCCATGGACCGACTTATCTCCGGGCTCCACTTTCCACAGTAAAGGTTATAGAACATTTTAATTTGACATGTCAGCGATCTCGACCGCAGTTTCTCTGCGTCTACCTACTTGTACTTACCTTCGCTTTCTTTTTTAATTTTCATTAAAATATTGATCTTTTAAATTAGTGCAATGTACACAATAATTATTCCTATACAGTAAATTTGTTAAATTGTTTTAGAAATTTATGGAACTAATTAATAAAGAGTGTAGAGAAATGAATGGGTTTTTTTAACAATAAAAGTGAACAGAAATCAATAGCCCGCAGAATTATATGTAGCCTACCGGTATTTTTATTTATTTGTTAATAATTTTATTTTAGGAAATTAGAGAATGAAAAGTGAAGAAAAATTAATAGCCTGCGTAAAATGTTGTATACCTATTTACCGGTATTTATTTATTTGTTAATTATTTTTAGAAATTTGTGGAACTAAAAAAGTGAAGAGAAATTAATGGCCTGTAGAGAAATGAATAGTTTTAGAACAACAACAACAATAAAGGAAATATGTTTCCAGAATTAAAAAAAATATTTATGAAATGAAATGGGGTTTAACGTCCACTCGACACAAACTAGGTCATTTCGGGACTACAATTAGCTGAAAAATTTAATTAGTTGATAAGTGGATAAAAATAGTGTCTTATGGTGGGAAATAATCCATATTTTGAAGAAAAATCTCAATTTGGGTGGAGACTCTTCCAATTTTTTTTATTTGGTCTTGTGTCAAGGTTTACGTTGTAAATGTCGAATTTATAATTCTATTGTATTTTCTTACTTTGTGTTTGTTTGATTATTCTGGCTCATAATGAATGATTTGGCATTAGTTAATTATCTGACAATGTATATAAACATAATATTTAAACATTAAAATATAAAAGTAATATATTTTTGTGAAGGTAACCAACATTGAAAAATATCACTATGACTATGAGAATGTACGTCCGTTACCAAATATTTACATTTTTTTTTCTCTCATTCATATTTTTATATGGAATTATTTAAAACTTCATATCTAAAGCTATAATAACCCATTCTTACTATAATGACTGTAAAAAGAAAAGATTTGCAAAATTTCTCAGAATAACTTGGGTTTTCATAGATGTACGTCCGTTACTTTTCACAGTATTTCATGTTACCATAGATAATACGGTATTATCTATGATGTTACCAAATATTTCCATTTTATCTCTCTTATTCATATTTTGATGGAACTGTTCAAAAACTCATATTTAAAGCTAATAACATCATTCATTCTTGTTACTATGACCGTGAAAAGAAATCATTTGCCAAAATTCTCTGAATTACTTAGGGTTTCATAGATGTATGTACGTCCGTTACCAAAATTTTAGGGTAAAAATGTACGTCCGTTGCCAAAATTTTAGGGTCACAATATTTCATTCAAGGAGTAATGTTTTTAGGAAAGTAACTGCTCCATTAATTCAAATGAGTTTACTATTAATATTATCTATAAGTCCGATTATTTGAAAGTTTACATATCTATTGTAATGGGTTACATCCGTTACCAGAAAATATGTACGTCCGTTACCACAATAATTTCTAATTTACTGGGTTACAAGAATCCAAATGTGAGAAGTGATTATGCAGTACGCATGTAGTATTAGTGCCCTTTCTTAAAAAGGATTAAAACTTTTAAATTCCACAAGACAATTCACAGTTTTGAAACTATGTTCATGCAGGCAAATCATGGTGACTGTTCATTTCTGTATGTCCGTTACCTATACTTTGAAGAGCCAATATTTATTTCCAGTGTTAATGAATAAATTAAATTATATGTCAATTGATACTGAAATCATATGTCTTTAATGCTATATAAAACTCAAACAGTTAATTATTCATGGTTAGAAAATATTGGAAGTAATAAAAATATGGCGAGTTCAAGTGCGGGGGGGGGGGGGGTGTAGGCGCCCAGGGCCTAGTAGTTGTGTGAGGTTGCGGTTGAGTAATGAGTGTTTGTTTTCGGGGAGCAGACTAATCTAGCAGACTAATTTAGCAACGGCTAGATGGTGTAAATCTCGCAGTCTTTGCTTCAGGAACATGACATTCATGACGTTTTGTGCAGTTAGGCCTAAATATAACCCCAATCGAATCATTTTTCTATACATAATACAGATCATTATAATTTGTATTGAAATAAAAGAGGCCTACGGGCCATTAAAAATGTCATTGTTTTGTGTTAAATGTGTTCTACTTTATCAAAGCGACATTTTTTATGTAGCCTAGGCCTATACAAGAGAGAGAGAGATGGGGTTTAACGTCCACTCGACACAAACTAGGTCATTTCGGGACAAACATGGTTTAATTTTATTTCAATAATTCGCTTGCGCGTAGGGGTCAATAGCACTCGGCAAACCTCAGCAGATTCCAGTACCCTACATCTAGCCTCTGCTGTAAGACGAAGTCCGCTATTGGAACTACTTTCTAGTTCCCGAATTACCAACTCCGTTGCCCATGACGACGCCTTTGAAGAATTTTTTATCATACAAATATATATTATACATACAAAACCACCTAGTAATAAAATATATATTATGCAATACTATGAACTATTGTTTCACACAATGCTTCCAAACGCAAAAAATATCGGCCCGTGTGCAAAAAAAAAAAATTGCACGAGATGCACATGAAAAACCCAATATACACGTGCAGCATTGTGTGTGAGCCCTTTAAAAGCATGTTTTCAACTTTAATGTGCAGTACATGAACTGTGAAACGTCAATCTGTCGTAATTTGTTGTTGGACGTGTGAAGGAATCGAGCTAGAGATGCCGAGACTTACTGAAAATCAACGGAATGAAGCCATGGAAATGTCCAGTGCTGGCATGTCTACACGTGCTATTGCCAGGCACTTCAATTGTCATCAGTCCACTATTGTAAGGTTGGTGGAACGTGTTCGAGTTACTGGATCAACACGTGACCGTCAACATCCTGGTCCACAATGCGTTGCAACCCAGGCTCAAGACCGCTACATCCGGGTCACTCATCTGCGTGACAGTTTCCGCCCAGCGACTTGAACAGGTGCAGCAGTCGTCGGAAGACAAGGACTAGTAAGTGCCAACACCGTAAGACGTCGTCTAAGAGAAGTAGGTCGTCGTGCACGGAGCTATCCTCAGGGATCATCACCGTTTGATATGGGCTCAAGGACACCAGACATGGAGAAGAGTAGACTGGCAAAGTGTGCTCTTCACTGATGGCCGTCAACGTGTGTGGAGTCAGTGGAGACGTCTTGGGGAACGTCTTGCAGACTGCTGCGTCTTTGAAACGAATCGATGGGTTGGGGGAAGTGTAATGGTGTGGGGAGGCTTCACATTTCATCACCGGACCGCCCTACACATTTGCAGGGGTCGCGTTAATGCTGTAGCCTACCGTGATGATGTCTTGCAACGAATTGTTGTTCTGATGTTTCAAGCGCACCCACAACTTCAGCACTTCCAACAGGATAATGCACGTCCGCATACTGCCCGTTTTAGTATGAACTACCTGGCTGCTAACAACATCAATGTCTTGGACTGGCCAGCCATGTCTCCGGACATGGCACCGATAACATGTCTGGGATGAGATTCGACGTCGTCTGTATCGTGACCACAGATGCACACCATTGCTGCTTTAGAAGCTGCTCATGTCCAAGAGTGGAACAATTTGCCCCAGGCCTTCTTTCAAACATTGGTAAATTCCATGCGACGTCGCTGCACAGCGTGCGTAAGAGCCCGTGGAGGACACACGCGCTACTGACATCTGTGTCATACTTTTGGTTTTGACCCCTCTGACTTTGTACCGTTGATTACAGATTAAACATCCATAAGTGTACAAATGTGTTGTTATTGATGTGTTCCCATTTGAATATTGTTCACAATAAGAAGCAAAATAAATGTTTACAGGATCATTTTGTTATACGAAAAACTAAGTGATGCGTTTTCCATGGTGCTCAGTATATTAAAATGGTTTTAAAATCGGAAAAAAAATGGTGACCTTTAGAGAATCTGCGAGCTAAAAATGCGATTTTTCAAATAATCAGGTGCCATAATTCAGGAAGTTACGTTTGGATATGCGCGAGTATCAAAAGGAACCAAGATCTTAGTGAAATGGTGATATATTCACATGTTTTTTTTATAAATCGGATAAAAATTGTGACCTCTACAGGGACCGCAAGCTAAAACGTGATTTTTTGCACAATCAAGGCCCATGATTATTCAGGAAGTTTCGATGCGATATGAAAACATTGAAAAGAACCAAAGTATTTCAACTTTCATCAAAATCGGATCAAAACTGTGACCTCTAGAGGGTCCACAACCTTAATATACCAGATGTAGACACTATTTGCGTACGAGGGGCGGCCATTTTGTCCGTCACTTTTGGCCCGATTTTCATGAAATTCGAACTCAACCATTATTAGGGTGTAACGGTGATATGCTAAAATTTTTTTTAAAAATTGTGACCTCTTGAGGGATCACAAGCTAACCCAGCAGCTGCCAGGCAGGATACGCCCACATTTTCGAGAGATGGATAGAGAACAAGCTAAAAAGAAAGCAATTTTTTGTACAATCAGGGACCATAATTCAGGAAGTTACGGTCCGATATGCGCGAATATCGAAAGGAACCGAGATCTTTGGGTTATAAACTTACATTTTAAGTTTCAACAAAATCGGATAAAAATTGTGACCTCTATAGGGTTAACAACCTTGATATACCATATTTTTACGCTATTTGAGAACGAGCGGCGGCCATTTTGTCTGTCAATTTTGGGCCTATTTTCACGAAATTCGAATTCAGCCGTCCTTAGGGTGTAACGGTGATATAATATTACGTTTTTTTAAATCTGCTAAAAATTATCACCTCTGTAGGGTCCACAAGCTAAAAACGCGATTTTTCATACAATCAGGGGCCATAATTCAGGAAGTTACGGTCCGATATGCGCGACTATCGAAAGGAACCAAGATCTTTGGGTTTTAAACTTACATTTTAAGTTTCAACAAAATCAGATTAAAATTGTGACCTCTATAGGGTCCACAACCTTGATATACCATATTTTTACGCTATTTGAGAACGAACGGCGGCCATTTTGTCTATCAATTTTAGGCCGATTTTTATGAAATTTGAACTCATCCGTCCTTAGGGTGATATAATAATAAGTTTTTTTAAATCGGATAAAAATTATGACCTCTATAGGGTCCACAAGCTAAAAACCCAATTTTTCATACAATCAGGGGCCATAATTCAGGAAGTTACGGTCCGATATGCGTGAATATCGAAAGGATCCGAGATCTTTGGGTTATAAACTTACATTTCAAGTTTCACCAAAATCGGATAAAAATTGTGACCTCTATAGGGTCCACAACCTTGATATACCATATTTTTACGCTATTTGAGAACGAACGGCGGCCATTTTGTCTGTCAATTTTGGGCCGATTTTCACGAAATTCGAACTCAACCTTTCTTAGGGTGTAACGGTGATATAATAATACGTTTTTTTAAATCGGATAAAAATTATGACCTCTATAGGGTCCACAAGCTAAAAACGTGATTTTTCGTACAAACAGGGGCCATAATCCATGAAGTTTCGATCCGATACATGCCAATATAGAAAGCAGCCGAGATCTTTTGGAGATAAACCTATATTTCAAGTTTCGTCAAAATCGGATAAGAATTGTGACCTGTAGAGTGTCCACAAACAAATTGTGGACGGACGTCCAGATGGACCGACGGACAGGGGCGACGGCATAATACGTCCACATGAAAATGTGGGCGTATAAAAACGCGATTTTTCATACAATCAGGGGCCGTATGTGCGAATATCCAAAGGAAACAAGATATTTGGGTTATAAATATGCATGTCAAGTTTCATCAAAATCAGATCAAAATTGTGACCTAGAGTGTTCACAAACTAAAAACGTGATTTTTCAGGGGCCATTTTATGGTCCGATACATGCGAATATCGAAAGGAACCAAGATCTTTGGAAGATAGACCTATATTTCAAGTTTCGTCAAAATCATATAAAAATTGTGACCTGTAGAGTGTCCACAAACAAATTGTGGACGGACAGACGTCCGGACAGACAGGGGCGACGACAATATACGTCCACATGAAAATGTGGGCATATAACAAAACCAATACACTTATAAAAATGCAGGTGCATTGTTAAGAATCATTGTATTTACATTTAAAAATGTAAAATAATGAAGTCTCCCTAAGGGCAGCCAATCTATAAATAATTTTGAAAAGCGACGTGCGACGCAAAGGGTGAAATGCCACTCCCTAGAAGATTTCTGTCATAGCACTCTGCATAGTGTATGGCTATCTTCAATAGTCTGATTGGCACAGAAAAGTAGGAAAATTAAATGGAATGAAATGGGATTTAACGTCCTACTGTTCTGCTCCGAGTGGGCTAATGAAGACAGGCATAAGCTATACAGTGTACTATGAGGAAAACTTTGTCCGGATAACGGCACTACGACCTACTCTTATATTGAATTCTGACAGTGGGTCTTTTACTTGCACGGCAATATGTACATGGGAATTTGGTTTTTCGTCTCATCCGAACAACTATGGGGTTAATGTATTATATTTCATTGTCGGTCAGGGTTGGTGCTTTACATTTCATTGTCAGTGTGGGTACGTTATGTCAGGGTGGGTGTGTTATGTCATTGTCAGGGTGGATGTGTTATGTCAGAGTGGGTGTGTTAATGCCATTGTCAGGGTGGGTGCCTCGTTACAATTCATTGTCACGGTGGGTGCGTTACATTTCATTGTTAGGTTGTGTGCATTATGTCAGGGTGGGTGCATTATGTCATGGTCAGAGCGGGTGTGGTATGTCATTGTTAGGGTGGATACGTTATGTCATTGTCGGAGTGGGTGTGTTATGTCAGAGTGGATGGATGCATTATGTCATTGTCAGGGTGGGTGCGTTGTCTCATTGTCAGTTTGGATACTTTACATTACCTTGTCAGAGTGGGTGTGCTAGTATTATTGTCAGAGATGGTTACGGGTGTGCATTTACATGTCATCATTAATCGTAAAAATGACAACAATAGATATCGACTGACTAGTGATTTGCGGATTAGTAGGAATTCGCAGGACCCTCACCAAAAGTCCTAGGATGGTAGTTCCCCCCCCCCCCACCCCACTGGGGAGATCGAAAAGATGAAGTGCCAGTGCCTGGTTAGTTGATTTTGGAAGCCTGGAATAATAGGTGTCTGTCATCATTGAAACTGTGGATACACGTAGAGTTACACAGTAACTTGTTCACGTATGGACCACAAAAAATATGTGTGCATATAATTGTTATCGTATAGTGTATGCCTGTACTGGAATGGGGTTTATTGTCCAGTCGACACAAACTGTGGTCAATTCGGCCCAAACCTGTGGTATATCTTAAGGTTGTTAGTTGAAGTTGCACTGAGAAAATGTTTGAGAAAACCAATGGGGTTAGGCAGGCGACCCTACTCTTTGCTACACGTGTAGCGTGATGTGCGTGAGAATAGGTCCTAAACTAGAAATCTAAAACATGCATACAGATGAAATAAAAGAACAAAATAATATCAACCATCTAAAAAAGAAGAATAACACAACAAAATGTTAAAACATTTTTTGAATATTATTTAAATGTATCACTTAATCTGGAATGGAAATAAGATACATAATGATAGGCATAACTAGTTTGCAATAAATAATTATCAGAATACTTAATGATATTAACGCATCAGACACAGATAAAATATACTTAAATCCAATGAAAATGAACAACTGATTTGAATGGAAGAGCTGACAAGACATGATGCATCTGAAAGAAGAACAACCCAAAAAGGCCATAATAACTTTACTTTACAGTGAAACGGAGACACAAAAGGTAGTGTGTGTGTCAACTTCTGTCACTTCCTGGAGGATACAAGCATCTGAATGGCTATTTGTGTGCATTTATGCAATCATGAAATTGTCATTTGTAGTAAATTGTACATGTTATTATGGTCCTGATCTGATGTTCAATTCGGAATTGCTAGATTTAAACAAGATTTACAGTCATGCTTTTATAAAAGTGGTTCCTTTTCATTGCGTACCAGTATACAATAAAATCATCATAAAAATAATATTAAAAGATTGTTATTAAATTATTAATTAGAATAATTCATCAAATTAAAGCATTATATACAAAGTTAAATAAAACCGTAATTATATACAATACATAAAAAATAATCAATCAAATCATGTAATTTGAACTTATTCAGCCTGCATGTATAACTCCTATGTACAGTGGACATAGAAGTTATACATGCAGACTGAATAGGCCGCAACCCGATTTTATGAATTTGATCTTATTCAGTTAACCAAAGACAGGCTGTGAACAGGCTAATAAATACACTTTGGACTTTTTGGTAAATTCTGAATGTAAATTAAATGATCATATACATGTATAATTCGCAATTGAAAGCAGTGGTGTGTTGGATGTGTGGGAGGCATGTACTCACCTGGCAAGCTTTTTGAGAGGGGGTGCCCGAAGGTGCCAAATTTATATCGACTATATAATAAAAAATCCTTGGTTCCATTTTCAAGGGGCACTGAATGCTCAAAATATGAGTTGTGAATATGAAATACAATTTAAGAAACATTTAAATCAAATTGGGCCCATAACTGCTTTGCTTCGTAGTCCCAGAAATATTTGACTCTTTTGGAACTTGTGCAAGAGTTGCTTAAGTCGCAGAATATGAGTTGGCAATGAGAAATAAATTCTGCTCCTTAGACTGTGAAAGGTTGCTACAATTTTAACAGTTAAAAAAGTTAAAAACACAAAATCTTTCATGGACTTACAACACTCTCCAGATACTACCCTCACAAAGACACCATTATAAAATCTTGCTCCCTGTCCCACCACGCCACTGAGTGGAGGGCACAATTTAAAAATCCAGATACCCCCCCCCCCCCAAAAAAAATATTATTTAAAACAGTAACAAGAGTAATAATGATTCCTGTAAGTTTGTAGTTTAGGGGTAGGAAAGAGGATACAAAATATGGAACTATGAAATAAATTAGCTATTTTTATACAACCTAAATAATTTAGTCTGCTGAAATTCACTTTTCATTGATAAAATATCAAATTGGTCACTATAATTTAAAATAGCAATATCCTTTGTACATTATATACATCAAAAATAAATATATATATTAACACAATACAATAAAATATTTTAACACAAAGATGTTAAATTACATACAGCACACTGAATAAACCCTATTCCACTGGCAACAAATTTTACATAAGATTTAGATTTATTATATATACCGTATAATACATGTACCTTAGAGTCTCTGATCACCATTTTAGGGAAGTTTAATTTGTTGCAAATTACTATTCTGTGAAAGTTGGTTCTTTAAAAGAAATATCAGTCCAAAAATGGTTTAATTCCAGTTTCTGTTTAGAAAGATATGATGAACTGAAAATTTTTCAACATTCAGCAAGTGCCATCTACAATCTTAGTGAACATCTTTGATGGGCCTCTGTTTAATCCTACTGAATCCAAGCTGGGAGATTATCTACTGTTGAATTTTAATTACAAATTTTTTTTAATCAAATTGAGTATATTCTAACTTGAACTAAGCTGTGAAAAATACAAATGATGATCAGTGATATTACGTTATACCCATGACTTTAAAATACAGATGTGACCTTATCATTTTATGTTAGCGTACCATTATTTGAAATAATAGTTCAAGCCATGTGCCAACTGTATATTATTTATAAATGTTTTTCAAAATGATGAATTCATGGGGGGATAGTGTATCTGTATTTTAAGTTGTATAAAGGCCTAATATAATTAATACAGCACTTTGGATAGACACTCTCAATATAAATATAATAACTTATTGTCTTGCTCTCCAAACTGTAAACAAAGACATTAAATAGATACAACTGAACTACTATCATTTTAACAAATTACTTATAGCCAAAATTTGAAGTATCACCTTCTAAACACCTTAAAGGGACAAGCCAGAATAAACTCAAATATACAGTTTAAGATTATATTAAAGGTACTTTTACTATTGGTCATTCTAAGTTTATGTACATTTGTATCTATTGCTTTCATTCCACCAGAAGTAACCTAACTTTTCCAGGAGATCCAGTCCATTTCAAACAGTGAAGCAGAACACATTTTAGCACTACCTATAGCCTACTTCCCGCTTGGCTGAATTTTAGTGTGGGCTTATAAAAACTAATCTAACTTCTTTAATATTCTTTGGCTGGGCTTTTATTTAGGGTGAATACAATAATGAATGTCTTTTACAGCAGTACAAAAACATAATATAAAACTTAAAAAGTGATGTGCATAATTTAAAGAAATGAAGCCCTTACAACACATCTTATTTGATCACCAGTAATTCAAATCACTTTGGCCTATATTACAAACTGAATAACAAAGTCAAAGTTATTCGTACACTCAATTCAATAAAACTGATAAATCAGAACCTTCAGAACCACTTATATGCTTTTTTGAACCAATGAATTGTTCATTTATTTTAGTTCCCTTTCTTATTTTCTACTTAAAGGGGCATTATGTCAGATTTAGATAAAGTCATGGCAGTTCTCGCTGTATTATTTCAAAAATAGATAATGCAAAATGAATATATTGAAAATTACATTCAAATTACTTTATTTTGAGCAAATTCATCAATGGCTGCAGTTTTGACAAGATGTGTGCATTGATCATAACTACTGTACTGGTCACTCGAGTCTTAGCCTCGCTTCTCCATTTTTAAATTAAATCATTTAATGGCCGAACCATTCTAATCTACTTAAAATCGGAGGCATCCAGTGGCATCGAGAGCTGATTATGATCTATGATTTATATAACATTATATAACATTGAGGGCTCAAAGAAACAAATCTAGCTCTTACCTAATGACTGTTTAAGTTAATTTCTCTATGTTAAGCCCCTTTCCCCCTTAAAACTGAATTTGGCCCTGACTGCCCTTTTAAATTCAATCAAACTGACAAACTCTTGCTTGCTTAAATCCTTAAAGTATTGACAATGAAATTGGAGACTACACAGCTGATAAGATCTAAAACTGAATTATTAAACCATGTCTATTGGTACATGTATAAATAACTGACCACATAATATACATGTACATGTAAATTTACTGTCTATTTATACTCGTGTTCTAACCTGATGAATATCATGAAGATTGCATGTAAAAATCTAATTGAAATGTAATCCACATTTTAACTGTTTACAAATTGATGCTAAAATGAAACTGTGTATTCACCAAAAAAAAATATCCCTTGTGATTTGATGTCTATTTTTAAAGCTATATTTGGAAGATATTTGGGCCCTTTTTTTAAAAAAAAGTAAATAAAATAAGTATAGCCTTTTCTTTTTGTAGAAACATTTTAGTATATTCGATGGGAAGTTAATAATCATACTGTCTGATTTATTGTTTCATAATTCAAGTAGAATTGTATTTTGTAATTCACCTGATGGAGACAGCAATTAATGTGAATACTGTCTACATGTATACACAGGTGGTACATGCATTATCATCAACCAGTCATACACATCATGATATATTACAATTATATAATCCTAGCCCATACATATTTCAGGCACTTGCTAAATTAAATATCCATAATAAATCACATTATCAGTGACAAAACATTATTCAAAACAAGAAGTGACTAGGGTAGACTGAATAAAAGTGAAATTATATTTGACCTGTCTAAAAATAGAAAGCTGGTGAAGGATACTCTGTTATCCACCATGGTATGTGAGGCACAGGCATCCGAAAATAACCAAACAATAACATATTTCAGTTAAAGCCCTAACATGGCAGAATAAAGTTTAAATTAAGTCACAATCAAGCGAAAGTAAATGTACTTTAATTAGAAAAACAGTTTGTTCTGAAAATTATCCAAATTGATCAATTCTAACCCAAGTTATGGTCATTTGAAATTTACCTTGGTGTCTATTGATTTCACACATGTACATATTAAGACGAACATAGTATATAATTGTTCAATCTTTTCCAAACAAGCATGCCCATTCTACATGCAGGTCTTTTTGAACATTGATGTTACACCACCAATACAAATTTTACAATTTTTGCGTTTGCAGCACTATATTTCTGGAGTCAATTACCAATTAAAATTAGACAACCTATCATTTTCAAAATAGTTTTATGTGACCAGTGAGAAAATACTTTAAAGCTCATTAGGAACTAAATATTTGGTAATCATGCACTATAGAAAATCCCGATATTATTATTAATTACATAATAACAACAGATTTTAAATTAATACATGTATAGTACATGTTTTTGATGTTTGACATATATGCATATTTAGTGAGATACCTTGTAAAAATAACACGGTTTAACAGGTACAAAGTGGAGGGATGGTCAGTAATACTTAAGCTAGAGTAGAAGAAAGTCATATGTCCAAACACAATCAAATTATTGAAATCAGAATTTTCTGAATAGCAGGAATTGATTAGGTTAGCTGATTCTAGACCAAGTAGGTGGAATAAACAACCGTGAAATGTATGCACCAGCTTCACCTTCATTAAATCTGATAAAGAAACCAGTAAAAAGTAAAGTGGATAATAAACCCAGATAACTTGTGAATTAAACGACAAAATAGAACATCAAAAAATCACATCACCACATCACAAACTGTACACCATATTCTTTTATAATGTTTATCACATTACTCGACACTTAAAAACTAATTCTACTATTGTATATTATCCTACAAGCCAGTTCACATGTACATATATGCAGGGTTTTTTTTTATCATATATGGATGAGCTACATCAAAAAATTAACAAAAGTGTTTAGATTAAAATAGTACATACAAATATATCTGAATGATATGGCGTGTTTTTAATTATTACATAAACAGCATTATTTTGGTTCATTTAGAGAGTTAAGGGACAGTCTGGTAAAAAAAAAAAACAACAACAACAAAAAACACCATGTTTTTGGTGGTCCAAAGGGGTGGGATGGCCTCACTGTCAACAGTTTTTCATGTAAATTAAGTTAGCTTTTTGTTCCAATATTGCTCATGTATGTCAATAATAATACACTTTGATGAATGAAATTATTTAAAAATACTACAACTTATACTGTACATGTATCTACACGGTTTAAAATATATTTGTATCAACAGCTAAAATACTATTTAGTATTAGTAAATATATAAACATTAAATTCTCAATAATTAATTATTTTTTATCACTATTAAGAGTGTGTTAAAAACAAATGCTTATAAAACATATTTAACAAGTAACAAGTTTTTGGTAATAATAATAACAGTCTTAACTCCCATAACAACGTCATTGGCTTAGCTTGTTGACTTCTTTTCTTCGATTTCGTTGTTTTCTATAAGTTTTTCTGTATTTTTTAATGTTTCGTTTGAGGGTGTATGAACGGGAGAAGATGAAGAAGACGTTTTTTCCTGGTTACAAGATTGCTGAATTCGTAAACCAAAAGGTTTTAGATGATAAATAAAATATTCCAACACATACATCATATTTGGAGGCACATAATGAAAACTTATTGCATAGTCACTACAACATTCTGGACCCTGTAAAGATAAATAATTCAACAGATTATATGTGTAACTATGATATAACTCTTAAACAAGCATTATGCAAGAGCTAAAAATCTATCTACTGCATGTCTTTCTTAAAGGAGCTAAATCGCTAATATTTTTGACCTAGCAATTGGCACAAATGAGTCGGAACACATATAATAATGTAATATGAATTTATATAAACTGTTTTACATTCAATCGTGTCCGTTTTACTGTGAATTGTCATCAGTTATGTTCGGCGAAATACGCCAGAAGTCTCAACATCAAGTCAGTTTCTAGCGTCTGGTTATTACAGTCAAAAGCGATATTATTTATTGCGCATGCTCTCCAAATAAGAATATGATATCACCGTTTGACATGACTTGTGGAATATGTCTAGCCTCATTGTTTGAGCACCTTGTTACAAATGGCGCTGAAACGCATTATGGTACACAATTCGTGTACCAATGGTAAAATGTTTATTTTGTCTTAAATATTGGATATCAGAAGCCCATCTTTTCCAGGTAAGATCACAACACCAATGCTGATTTAAAATGCAAAAACATTCGTGTTTTCAATGTCGAAGATTTTGGATGATATTGAGTTACGGACTTAGCTACTTTAAGACATAAACTACTAATCAAACATTTATAAACATGACAAGACCATAATCAACCAGTATGGTGGTTACAATCAGTGGACACATCTTGTCAACATTCAAAGGCTAATATATTCGCCGAGAATAGAGTAACTGAAATGAAATGAATTTGGGGTTTAACGTCTTACTGTTCTGCTCTGATGAAGATGGGCATACGCCATGCAGTGTGCTATGAGGGCAATTTTGCTTGGACAGCGGCACTACAGCCTACACTTATATTAAATTCCAACTGTCAAGGGATCTTTTATGTGCACGCCACTGTCTACACGGGACCTCAGCTTTTCGTCCCATCAGAATGACTTGTCAGGCCCTCTGTCCTGCATCACTGACAAGGGGGAACCATGCCAGAAAATCTGGATGAACTTTCTCGGACAATGCAGAGATCAAACACCTGACCTCCAGGCTAGCGAGCCAGCGTCTTCCCCACTTAGCCACCGTGATCCCCCAAAAATGGAATGAAATTTTCAATATACATGTATTCATTTTTCATTATCTATTTTTGAACTATTATAGCAAAAAAGTCCCGCTCTTTAAGTGAGCCAGAGGTTCGACGTCATAACGTCATAATGCCAATGGTCAATAGTGTTAAAATATAGCTATGCATTTTAATGTGGTCTCATTAAAAACATCTGTAAATAGATCCTTCATGTAAATGGATGTAATGATCTAGATTTAATGACATTTCCATAAATATGAATCTTATACCACAAATTACTATAGCAAATACTCTAATTTAGATATTTCATGCAAAATTCCTATATATAATGGGGATTTCTATTTTATGGGGGGCTGCTGTGAACTAAAACACAGATCCTATTTCGTTTCATTTTTTATAGTTCAAAATTTCGTTTTACTTGTCTTTACTACATTAGGATCTGGAAGAGTTGTTATATACACCCTGTGTTCTGGATAATGTGAAGTAAACAAACAAGTGAATGTTGTCTATAGATTTATAAAGGAAGTTGCATCCAGCTAATCGATTTGGCCGACAAAAGTCACTGTGGCTACTTAAATGTAACAAAAGTCGACATTGGTCAGTTAAGAGTTAAAGATTCTAACGGAATGAAAAGCAGAGTTGTTACAATGTACATGTATGTTCTAAAGTCTTGACCAATCAAATTGCTTATCGCTACTTAGCCTAAGCAGATGATTCTTACAGTTCTTCAAAAGATGGTAGACAAAAAATAGACAATAAAAGGGAATATGTTGAAAATTTCAGTCAATTCACTTCATTCTGAGTGAAGTTACTGCTGTTCAAAGAACAATGTTGCCTTGATTGTCATTGCTACAAAGTTTTGATTATCCAATCATGTCTAAATCTATTGAAAATCAAAAGCATCTGATAGTCTAGTGCGCTGATTATGGAACTGGCATGTGAATAAATGTCTAATAAATGATTTATATAGATGACATAACCGCTGTTTCATGTAGGAGTATGTTGCATTGCCTGGCAACCTAATTTTTGAAAGAAGTGTGTGTGTATGTTTGGGGGTTGGGGGAATTAACATTCTAATCTAAATTCAACAATGAGATTCAATAAAATCTCTCCATATTTTTTACTCTTGTACTGTTGATTTGTCGACCAATGAGAAACAACAAGGAAGCAAATATTTAGCTCTATTCAACTTCTAACTTTTCAATTAGCATAGAGGTTGTGTTTGAAAGGTCTTCTCTTAACCTATTCTAATGCTGTTTATACTATAGTCCCAAGCAAAAGTAATAGAGGCCTTTGGCTTTACTTTCCATTTCTTTTTCCATAACTTTCAAAATGGGATTGAAATTGGGTTAAAATTCTTGGTCTGCATTGTACATACATACCACAGTACATAAAAATGTATACAATAGATATATACACGACATCTATATAATATTGAATTAGAATATTATTACTATTAAAGATACTGTTTATCCATTAGTAAGCTTTGTCTCATTCAAGCACACGATTCATTTTAAGGTCTTTTGGTCGATCTGAGAGTTGCTTGCTGACTTGCTCCGCATTTACCCCAGCCACACTCTTTCCTGTGCAACATCATGCACTATCCTACTACAGGAAAAAACACTAATCATTATACCACTTCCCTACCTCATAGCAAAAATACTACACACTATATAATATAGCTTCTTCAAATGTCTGTTCTACTTACATTTTGGGTGGGATAATAATTATACTGCCAGTACCACATGTTGGCTGGTAATATTCCTGGTATTAAATGGTGTTCTGGTATAAAAGGATTAAATCTTTCTCGGCCTAACTCATCTCTGGAATCGCCAGCCGCAACTCCAACATTCGCTAGGCATTTACCCATTTCTAAATCCTCTGCTCCCCCGTGATCACTTCTACACTTCGTAGCATCTGGAATGGCTTGCGTAACAAAGTTTACTAAAGCTTGTTTACTTAGTACATAGCCAGCTCCTCCACTCATATACCCCTGAGACACATACGGCTTGAACCTTCTTCCAAAATACAACGGCTTGTTGGGATCATGGTCCTTTAGAAAGTACCGCAGATTTTCTACGATAAAATATGAGTCATCGTCTGCTTTTACAAACCAGTCTGCCTGATCTAAATAATATTTATGGACGTGCTTAAATGCTTCTTTGGTTTTCGCCCACAAATTGTCACGTCCTTCTGACACTGGTAGTTTAACAGCTGGGAGATCTTTGTCGACTTCAGAACTCATAAATAATAATATTGTACATCGTTTTCCCCATGTAGCTTTCACGTGTTTAGCTTTGGATTGAATGTTTGAAGGATTTGTCATTACCCAACATAAAACTCTAACTTTCTTTGCCAGTTCATCAGCAGCAACACTTGATTCACCTGAAATTAAAACAACAAGTTTTCTATATTTCTATCTTCATGAAATTTATGATGTAAATGTACAAAAAGACAATAACAATGCTACTGCAAAAATAATCGCAAAATAATTTATTAAAATTTTTAAACTAACTGAAATTGACTTGTAAGATGCTGTTCTGGTGAGGTAATGGCATTTATTGACAAATTAATTGTAAATTGATAAATTAATTGTAAAGCTTGTCTGAACAATATTAATGACACTACACAAATATTTCAACCACTTTTATCAATTTTTATAACTACTGTATATGTGTAATAAAAAAAGAAAATCCTTTAGAAAAAAACAATTAATCAATATTTTTAGTATAGTATTAGGTTATTAACATTATTGACTATTATCTATACTGTCAGCTGTTGTACAATATCATTTATTTAAAGATAGGTTCCCAGAAAAGTATTTATTGGGTGGTTATTTCCAATAAAAGTATGGCAATTTTGGTATATATGGAAAGTAGAAATATCCAATCTTACTAGAAAAATACTTGATTCCCTGAAAAACACTCATGGAGCTTATACAGGACAAAAATGTCAGGGTTCCCCTAATTGACAGCCCGACGATTAGGAATATCTGTGCGCGTGACGTCAACGGTTGCATGCAGAGATTGAGCGCATGATGTACATGTTGACAAACTTTATGAAGAGTTAGATGTACAACACTTTCTGAGATATAAATCACGGAAAAAGACTCAAGCACTGGATTATCCGAGAATTTAATTAGGATTCGATATTTGTAATAAATAGTCAGCGATTAAAGACAACATCGTCTTGTGTATGCAATGAATTCTTTTCCGACTTCGCACCCGTAAGTCACGTGACACAAACATGACATCTTTTGATCGATTTTTTCATAGCAAGGGTATTCCTTGACAATTACAATGTTTTGAGAAGGATTTGAAGCAAATTTATGATAAATTAATTAGTTTGAATATGTTTTGGGCCAAATATATCATCAAATCACCCAGTTTGTATGCAGGAATGTATCTTTAAATATGTTGTAATATGATAAATTAGACATACATACATACACTTGTTCATACGCGGGAATGTATCTTTAACTTTAAATAAGTTGTAATATGATAAATTAGACATACATACACTTGTTCAGAAACATAAGCTAAATAATCCAATAATGTAGTATGAATAGAAATAATGATAAGTTATAATAGACTTAACAGGACTGAATAATTTGTATACATGTACATGTACATTAAGCTTAATGCTCCTGAATCGATTTTAGTATTACAAACAATACTTGTATACATTTAATGAAGGTTTTGACTGAAAAATTCCTTCTGCAAGTTGAAATGTCAAATGGGGTTAACACCTTGTTTTTTTGTATCATCATCAAGGCTAACAAAGATGGGTCCTTTGTGTCAGTAAAATTCCAAATTCATAGAACACATTTCTTTTGATCACTGATGACCAAAACAAAAATTGCCCATGTAATATTTGACAGTTAAAAATAATTGCGCCAGGCCACCTTTGAACCCAGTCGGCACTTATATTCGTGTGTGAACCATAATATATATCTGGGTCTATCCTGTGCTCATTTTCATTCAAACATTGACCAATACATGTATGTGTAGGTGTAAAAGGAGAACTCACACCGTTTTTTATTTTATTTTATTTTTTATAGTTATTCCTTAGTTGTTACTAAAATAGTATTCACTTTAATTAACATGCTGTACATGCATCCTTCAATTTATTTAAACAGGCATTATGCAAGAGCTAAATCTGCCTATTGCAGGTCTTTCTTTAGACTTGAAATGTTATCTAAATTATTAATTACACATTGATTAACTTATCTAGACCATAATCAACTCTCGATGTCATCGCTAGCCTGCAATATTTACTGTATTAGGATCCGATTTGCTGCTCAACTTTCATTCATGATTAAATCATGAAATGGATAATCGAGACTATATTTTTATTGTACCGACTTTAGTAATTTTGATTGAGGCTAGGCCGAAAATTCAATTGTTTAATTCTTGGGTCAGAGTGGATCAATTTGACTGAAAATCTCAGCAAATCCCCTTTACATTATCTAGTTTTTAACTATCATAGTGAGAACTGCCAGCTCTTTATCTAATCTCCCATAATGTATCTTTAAATAATTATTTCATAATATGTTCTAAGCAGATAATAAATCAATTGGAGAAAAACTCAACATTGACTGATGTTCTTCTTTAATGCCTATACAGTATATAATGCATGTACTTGGTCTGAGCATGTGTAGTGTAGTCATCCTGTACTGAATTGAACTTTACCACAAGCACAAGCAATGTTATTTCCAAAAACAAAATTTACAGGTACATGTATATATGTATTCACACTTTTATAATCAGATTTAAAGAATCCAATTCTTCACAAGTAAGCTCATGTGATGGACATTTTTTGTACAATAAACATATTTTTTTGCGGTGTGGTTTAATAAGTAAATTAGTTTAAAAGCTATGGTAACATGAGTTTACTACTAAAGTAAAGATGGAAACAGGAGTGAACCAATATTTATTCTGTGTGTCTAAGAAATGCAACATACATGTAAAACAAATGAATTACATGTTACAAATAACAATGTCATTTTGACATGTTTGGATTTTTTAAATTTAAGCTTATATGAAGCTGCTCCATATTGTTTGTGCAAATGCAAAAGCACTATCTCAATTTTGTAAAACATTTCAGTGCAAAAAAGAAATGAGTTCTAATACCCTCATTTTCTACACTCTGTGTTTCATCACTCTCACCAAGTCAGAATCTTAGTTATTATTATGTTTGAAAGCATTGACAAATCAAATTGCTTATCAATCCAAATTTAATGCCATGTTTCATTAATCTCACTCTATTAATAATTATTTTGTTCCATAATCTCGACCAATCAAATAGCTTATCTCTGACTCTGTTTAAACTGAGCCGAAAATGCTCATTACGGAACTCAGTCAAGACATTCACCTAATAAACACATATACCAAGTTCGAAAATTCTAGCTCAATTAGAAGCAGAGTTATTGTGTCCCAAAAAGTGTAACGGACAGAAAGACGGATAGATCAATTTCAATAGTCCCCTGCACAATAAATGATATATACATTATCCTCAAGAGCTCTTATCCTTTCAATTTTAATTAACATTTGTAGTAATAATTGATGAAGTGAAACTATACATCCAGTTTCGTCACTCTTTCTTGCTTAATTAGAATAGAATCAAAGTTCAAATCATCTACAAATCAAATAATAATAATACTATATCTATCTATATATATATTTGTGACTGTCGTTTGTCTGTCAGTCTGTCTGTGCGGGGTTGGTGGCTACACTAGGTCTGCCCCGAGTCTGAAATTTGGGGTATAGGGGTAGCTCGAAACGGGGAGCAACATAGGCCAGGTGGCTTTAGTCTACCACTTCCGGTTTCGGAGTTATGACCCCCGATTGAAGCCTGTCTGTTTGGGGTTGGCGGCTACACTAGGTCTGCCCCGAGTCTGAAATTTGGGGTATAAGGGTAGCTCGGACCGGGGAGTAACATAGGCCAGGTCGTGTTAGTCTACCACTTCCGGTTTCGGAGTTATGACCCCCGAGCGAAGTCTGTCTGTTCGGGGTTGGCGGCTACATCGGCCCCCGAGTCTGAAATTTGGGGTATAGGGGTAGCTCGGACCGGGGAGTAACATAGGCCAGTTGGCGTTAGTCTACCACTTCCGGTTTCGGAGTTATGACACTCGAGCGAAGCCGGTCTGTTCGGGGTTGGCGGCTACACTAGGTCTGCCCCGAGTCTGAAATTTGGGGTATAGGGGTAGCTCGGACCGGGGAGTAACATAGGCCAGGTCGCGTTAGTCTACCACTTCCGGTTTCGGAGTTATGACCCCCGAGCGAAGTCTGTTCGGGGTTGGCAGCTACACTAGGTCTGCCCCGAGTCTGAAATTTGGGGTATAGAGGTAGCTCGGACCGGGGAGTAACATAGGCCAGGTGGCGTTAGTCTACCACTTTCGGTTTCGGAGTTATGACCCCCGAGCGAAGCCGGTCTGTTCGGGGTTGGCGGCTACACTAGGTCTGCCCCGAGTCTGAAATTTGGGGTATAGGTGTAGCTTGGACCGGGGAGTAACATAGGCCAGGTGGCGTTAGTCTACCACTTCCGGTTTCGGAGTTATGACCCCCGAGTGAAGCCGGGTATCTTGCTAGTAGTGTATATTTATAATGCACAAATTTCCATACAGTATGCATGCTCAAAGTGCCAAACAGATCTATAGATGAATGAACCCATTCTAAGAGTCCCCTGCCTTCTTCAAAAGTACAATTAAGTCATATTTAGAAATACAAAAACAGTGTATGTTGTATTTGTGTTGTATATATTTTTATTGGGTCATTTTATTGTATTTTTTACCATGCTATACACTGAGAAACCATTCTATTTCTATGCTACTGGCAGCCTACATGTCAACCGTTAACAAAACTGGTTAACTGTGCATAACAAAGAATTAATAAAATATGTCTGTTTACAAACACAAATTTTTAGACTGGTATATGGTGTTATATATTTTGTTGATGAGTCATGTTGTATCCTACATGTACCATGCTGAACGACTTTTTATAACACACATTTGCAAGGACACTTACACAAAATCTTTTTTTTCTTTTAGGTAGGCCTAATCTTGGATTTCAAGCAGAGTAATTAGATGAATCTACATTTATTTTTCTTGTGGAAGTGATAATGCCTATTTAATTTAGTTGATATTTGTAATTTAGTTATTTTTCATTCTAATTTTATTGACAAAACTAATCTACGACGTATTTCAACGATATATTATTCAAAACTAGAAAGGTATTTTTATTTTTGAAATAATTAAATATTTATCTTCTTGATCATAAGGACATAAGAATGTATTAACTGTATAAATTGGTCTGTGAGAAGTAAGTTTACAGCATTGTACATTTAGACTGGTAGATTGCTAACCATTATGTCAACCAGAGACAGCAATTTATCACAAACCTGACATTTTTATAATAATTGTACTTGTAGATGTAAATAAATGGTCCAGTTAGTTACATGTTAAGTCTTGACATCTTAAGTCATAAAAACCTTTAGTAAACACGTATACTTAGAAGATGAAAAATGTGAAGAGAAGATACCTATATATGTAGTTAATTCAGATTTTATGTTTATTTATGAATACATGTATGTATCTAAGTTCTCAATAATAAAAAAAAAAGAAGCTTTAACGACAAAATCACTTTTATTGACAACGTCATATCTGTTGGGGATCAGATAATACAGTGACGATACCGGTATTGATAAAAAATTCTGCTATCTGGAACACAAAAACAAAACTAACTAATTATATATAAGTAGTAGGCCTACTGGTTGCTAAAAGTTTAAAATATACCTTACGATACCGATACGTTTGTTGTCTGAATTATTCTTGTGCAGACATATTGTGTTTCTGCCTTTGTGTTTTATTTATGTGTGGTGCAGTCCTCCTATAAATATCTATCTATACTAATATTTGTGACTGTCGTTTGTCTGTCCGTTTGAAGCTGCCCAAGTCAGGAAAGTAAGTTTTGGGAAAAAGTTAAAGATGTTGGTATGTCCCAAAACAAAATCACATAGCATTAGCAACCAGGCAATTTATTTGCTATTTTGTTGTTTAATAAAAACATTTCCTATAGTATGACAGTGGTAAATGGTCCACCGGCCGGTATTTGTGTGAGTATAGTTTCTCTGTCTAATTCTAGGCCTGTACCTACAGGCCTACTAGTACTACAGGCTATGCTACGGACTGAGTGAGAGTAGTTGGCTACGACAGAGTGCTTTTACAGCGTAGTAACTAACAAAACTTCCTGTAAAAAAGAAATATAATTCGACAATAATAATATCAAAATATATTTGGAAACATATTTATATAAAAATTTGGCAGTCGGTTGATATGATGACTTATAGACTTACCCATGTGGCCATGAGAATGATCATCCATCCACATGACAGATTTTTCTGGACCCTTAAAATTGTCCATTTCTCCATGGCTATGCGGGTCTTCTGGGATAAATCCTGTCAGGTAAACCTTTTCTGGTGTTTGGGCAATTCTTACAATACCGCCTCTCGACGAAGAAAAAGCAAACATGTATGTAAAAGCGAAGCCGAAAATTAAACCGACTGAAAAAGTTACGAGCCCCCCTTTCGTTATGCCACCAGCCATTATTGTTTTGGGCGAACTCGGTTTAAAAAGGGACGTAATTTGAGATAGTCTTGTTCTACCAGACCTTTACTTTACAATTTACGAGTTTACCAGACATTTTAACATTTATATTGCAAATGACATTTACTATATGTGCGTAATGACACTGATATTCAGATAACGACTAACAATTACATATGAAGGAATTCTGATTCCTAAGTAACAGAAAAATGACAAACCGTGTCTCTCAGTAAATACCGATATAAATTATATGGTTGGCCTACCATTTAATCCACACATATTTAGGAATAAATATTTTTTTTTAGAAAAGAAATATAATTATGTGAACATGAATTGTGTAAATTATCTATTGATCTTGTCTTCTATTACAGACTACATTTATCGTAACGGCGCTTGTGGATAATCCTACAATATTTAAAAAAAAAAAAAATGCACTGTTTTGTGTATTAGCTCATAATTCAATTGTTTCCATTTTGTGTAATCAATTTAATTTTCCATGGCATATTTTAGCACAAAACAAAATCGAAGAACCGAATGACGAATTACAAGCATTTTCTAAAAACATTAGTTATTCATATAACTATATAGTTTAATAGGCCTATATAGCGGACTGAGCTGAAACTTTATTATTAGTGGCGACCCCGTGCACGTATTAATTTTGTTAAGCGGGGGGGGGGGGGGGCGACTGATGCACAGGCCCCTAATAGTCCAGTCAATTTATGATTTTACCCCCAACAAATTGCAAAGAAAACGTTTTTCTGCATTTTTGTATTTATTTAGGTATACTTTATAAAATCCCAAAAGTTTACCAAATTTTGTGCATCGGAAAGCGGTAAAATCCAAGATGGCCGACATATTGCCTAATCAATGTACAAAAAAAAAATATAAACTGTAAATTAATGTTTTTTAGGGTCATTATTTCATTTGAAAATATATCCTGTGTTGTTCACTGGTTCCTTAAAGGGGTAAAAGCTAAGATGGCTGACATTTGCCTAACCAGAGAGAGAGAGAAATGGGGTTTAACGTCCACTCGACACAGACTAGGTCATTTCGGGACTAACATATATGGTTTAATTTTATTTCAATAATTCGCTTGCGCGTAGGGGTCTTTAGTAGTGGGAGGAAACCGGAGGACCTGGAGAAAACCCACGAGGTAAGAATTTGCCTAACCAATGTACATAAAAAAAAATCTAAACGGTTGTATAATGGGACATATACATGAATGCTTTTGGGGTCATTCTTTCATATGAGGTCATACCCAGTGGTGTTAACTAGTCCCTTATACCGTTCTAGGGCGCCCCCCCCACCCCAAATTTACGACTATAGGCTTTACCCTGCACTGCTTCATCATAATATAGCCCCTTTAGTATCTGAAGTAAGGTCATAAATAGAATGCGATTTGGCATGTAAACTTCCAAGAATTATTTCACTGTGGGGTACCCTTTCGGTAGAATAGAAGAGAAAAGCCACACCCTTATTTCAAATAGTCTGTGTAGCATAATTCAGCACAATGTATTGAACTTTGGCCATACCAAGTCGCAGATTGGGGTGGGGGGGGCATGAGTTAAGTAATCGCCCCATCAGACAAAGTCCCCTCAAGCCCAGTCCCAAAAATTAAAAGCTCAGTAATTGTTATACGTCGCTGTCTGAATTATTTTCACGCCCACGGCGCTCTACTTCATTGTCATCATTTCCCCACTCCTCTATCGTCTTATACTATTTTATCGCTATCTGAATTTTTTTAACGCCTGCTGCGCTCGATTCCATGTGCATCATTCTTACACTCCTCTAAAGTCTTGTACTATCTTATCACTCACTATCACATTTACGGTTATAGTGAATACTCCAGTTAGTAGTACCACTAGTGAGTGGGCCGTGGGTCGACAGACCGTACAAGTTATGTCAACTCTCACAAAATAGGTGGAATTGACAGGCAGGCCTCGAGATTCTATCACAGTTCTTATCCTCTCGTTCAGAAGAATTTACGCCTATCAATGAACTGAAATGCCAAGGAATTAGCCCAGTCCCAAATATATTACTAAAAGCTCAGTTATAGGTTGCTCTCTGATATTTTTTCGCACGTACGTCGCTCAATTCTATTATAGCATCATTCTTCCACTCCTCTGTGGTCTTATACTATCTCATTACTATTATATTCACGGTTATAGTGAACCTACCAGTTGGTACCACTATTTCGTGGGTCGTGGGGCGACAGACTGTACTGTCAACTCTCACTAATCAGGTGGAATTGACAGTCAGATCTCGAGATTCTGTCCCATTGAATGGGATTGACTGCCATTTCTGATCCCCTCGTTAACAAGAATTGAAGGGTTCCGCGCCAAAACAGCCTAAGTCAGACTTAGGTTGTTTTGACATAGTACTATAGCGAAATAGCCCTAGCAGTTCTCCATCTTCTACTGAAAAGCATATCGTTCTACGTCAACTCTTTGCACCTAAATTTTGAGGTTGAAACCTCAACGCCCAGTGCAAAAATAGCCTAAGTCAGACTAAGGTTGTTTTGCCTTGATGTCGCTTGACTTAGGCTACTTTGCTTGGTAGCTCTCGGGAAAAGAAGGTGGTAAAAGTACGAAATAGGGTCAAGGTCACCGTGACGGTCAAGCCTTAAAACCGATTTCTGTGATAATTAGAGTACATTTCGATATTCTGTCTGTTAAGATTTATGAAAAAAGTATTGCAGATTACCAAAATAACCAATATTATTTAAATCAGGGTGTAGTTATTGGCTAGTTCCTCAGTTTCTCCATTGCTGACTTAGGTCGTTTTGCCTGGCAATGAAAGATACAATATTGTCTATGAATGCATTTGCTCACACTACCCTAATCTCTTTTCTAGAATATCCTTCTATATTATTTTGTACTAATTTATTGTTTTCTGGTAAATGGCGAGGATACAGAAGCTGGGATTGTAACAGTTAAACCAACTGTTCACTTTTAGCGGTAGATTTCACTTTTGGCGGTAGTTGGCTGTTGGGAAAGTAGTGCTCCTTAAAAGTGATATAGTCAAGACAAATCGGTGACTAGAGACAATGTGGTATGAGGGTGGGAGGAGATGAAATAGTAAGAGATGGTTGGGTGGAACAGTACAGTAACGTGGTGCAGTAGATAAAACAGAATAGCAGAGATGAATAGCAGAGTAGACCAAGAGTGGACATGGATTATTAAACAGAGCAGTAGTTGGGGGGGGGGGGGGGGAATGGGTGAAAATGTATAGATGGGTGGTATAGTAGAGGATGGCAGAACAGTAGATGAACCTGGAAAAGTAGAAATGGTTAGAACATTAGAGTTGGTGCAGTAGTGAATGGTGGAATTTCAGAGATGGGTTGTAGATTAGAAGTAGATGGAACACCAGAGATGGGTAATGTAGTAGTGATTGGTTGAACATTAGAGATGTGCATGCAAGGGAAGAAAGTGAGCCATCAGAGATGGATTGTACAGAGATGGTTGGAACATTGGAGATGTGCTATGCAGTAGAAGAGGGTGCAACCTCAGAGATTATTTGTACAGTGGAATAAGGTGCAATATTAGAGATGGGTTATGCAGTAGTGGATGATGCAATATTAGTGATGGACTGTGCTGTACAAGTAGGTGGAACATAAGAAATGGGTTATGCAGTAGTGTATTGATCATGAGAGATGGGCTATGCAGTAGTAGAAGGTGGCACATCAGAAATGTGCAGTCGGGATGTGGGATTGAGGAGGGCCAGCGATGGAGACTAGGATTTGACATGCTTTGAGAGTATGTTCACAGATGAAGAACTTATCGCCCCAACAGAACCACAGCTGCATATGCCATACGCAATAGCGCCATACACGTGGGAGGGGTTCATTGTCAAATTTGACATTGATGAAAACTGAATCGTCTTGGTTTATCTATCCATGTTTGCTTTTCTACCGGTTCTCACATACGATTTACTGTTTAGCATATCTTTGCTTTAGTGTGTTACGTTTATTTTGATCGGGAGACGTGTTCGTCGACGTCAACGGACAAAACTTCAAGAATTGGCCGTGGCACTGCAAGAGGAGTGGGTCAGATTGCCCCAAATCATGATTGAACGGTTGATTAGGAGCATGCCACGACGAATTGCTGAATGTCTGAGGATTGGTGGAGCAATTACTCATTATTAAGACAAAAATAAAAAACGTCCATTTTCACTTTTGACGTTGTATCTCTTTGCGAGTGAAATGGGGCCGTCAGATAAGCCGCCCATATGAACTGTTTACGTTCATGTGTAGGCAATTGGCCTGTTATTAACATACACTGGTTACTTCTAATAAAAACAGCAGTGCATTTCCGCAGTTTTGTATTGTTTCTGAATATCCCCTACTTTTTGTGAAGAGTATATTTTTGATTTTTGAAATATATAAGAACGATCTGGCTTGATGTGCCTTTAAATGGAAGCTTAAATCGATATTGTTTTCCTCAAAAAGCCGCAAACCTTGTGATGATTTGTATTCTTACTCTTTTATCTGTTCTCTTTATTGCATGTGTACGGTTACCCCTCAATTGGAGCTATGTATCGTCTTTTTCTAAATCCTGACCCGACTTAGGCTTTGTTGCCTGGATGTTTTTATCTGACTTAGGTCATTTTGCTCTGAATTAATTGCCTTCAAAATAGAATTTTGTAATTTTCTCCTTTATAAGCATACAATGTTACTGCACTCATGGTTAATATTAACATATTTTATACATATTAACCATAGAAAAACATTTAGTTTGATAGGTACAGTAGTTTAAAAGATCACGTTTTTTGCTTTTCCTGGAAAGTTGGAAAGAGTGACTTAGGTCGTTTTGACAGTAAACCCTGGGGGGGGGGGGGGACTGATGCACAGGCCCCTAAAAGTCCAGTCAATTTATGATTTTACCCCCAACAAATTGCAAAGAAAACGTTTTTCTGCATTTTTGTATTTATTTAGGTATACTTTATAAAATCCCAAAAGTTTACCAAATTTTGTGCATCGGAAAGCGGTAAAATCCAAGATGGCCGACATATTGCC